ATCATGGGAATTAGTAAGTAAGGTTACAAGTCCCTTAATTGGGGTTATAAGTAAATATAAGTATAGTTACCTTAATTATAACCCTACTTACTAAGTCCCATGATCCTTTAAGTAGGGTTTAGGGCCATCTGCCCCGTAGCGCAGGTCTTAGGCTTTGGTTTCTCGCCACCAAGCGGCACATTTGACCATACACGGGTTTAGGGTTTAGGGTTTAGGGTTTAGGGTTTAGGGTTTTCCGTATAAGGTCGTGTAAGACCTGACATCCTGGACCCACGCAAAAGCTCTCGAAAGCCAGCCCTCGCACCCGGAAGCACTGCAAAACGGGAGGAAGTCCCAGCGATTCCATGCTTTGCAACTTCCCAGCGGTGTTAAATGCAACTGAGCAGCACAGAAATGCGCATGCCGTGATCTATCCCCTGAGGGTCCACGCATTGAAGTCACTACCATATATTTTGGGGTCGGGGAGACATCTGCTCTGATACCTTACAGCCTATGTTGTTTTCTACCTGAGTGCTTCGACTCTTCGGGGATTGTCCAGGGTGTGCAGGGGGGCTCGGGTTGGAGGGCACGTCCCGCAACTGTTTTCTTAGCTTGAGTAGTTGCTCTGACTGCCCTTTCCGCTCCCCATGCACAACTCCTCAACTACAAACCCTCCGCATGAACAGCTTCTTTTGAGCTCTGTCCTCCGTCGTCTTTTCTTGTTGGGATTTTCCTCGGGAATCCTGCGAAACGGTGAAGCCAGAATCCTCTCTGCTCTCTCTCTTTCTCTCTGTCTGTATGTGTCTGTGTACGTGTATTATGTATATATACAGAGGTTATCATATCATACTTATACAGTTGTACAGAGAGAGGCACACACGGGCAGACAGAACATCCACACATCCCGAACACAGTTATAGTGTCATATGTCCCAGATTTTTCTTCCACTACTGCAGATTAGGTCTCCTACAGGCTTCAGCTATAAACTCTATCGAAACCCTATAAAGGCCCATCAAATCCAACAAAAATCCTGTTCCAATGCTCATAAGACCTTGCACTAACCCTAAACCCTAAACCCTATAAACCCGATAAGCCCTATAAACCCTATAAGCCCTAAACCCTATAAACCCTATAAAGCCTAAGCCTACTTGGGCCCAGAGCTTCCAAGGCCAATTTGCCGGCAGACGTGCGCTGCCTTTCTGCTTGGTGGACATTGGATCTCAGACGCTCGATTTCGGGAGTTTCTGACGGTTTAGGGTTTAGGGTTTAGGGAAAATGAGAGGTGCCTTATTTAGGGGTCCTTATAATAACGATCCTACTATTTGGGGTACTGTATTAGGGTCCCTTATTTTCGGAAGCCCCCATTTCGGGTTCGGGGTGCTTTGGGCCTAGGCTTTGGGCTTCCAGCTTAGGGCCTAGGTTTGGCGCTGCGGCTTTGGGTGGCTTTGGGTGTGGGTTTAGGGTCTAGGTTTAGGGGCTAGGCTTATGGGCTTAGGGTTTAGGGCTTTGGGTTAGGATTTGGATCTAGAGGGAGGGGGTTTAGGGTTCGGAGCTTTTAGGTTTTCGGGTACGGGTAGAGGAGTTTCAAGGTTGTGCGGGGTGGGGGGTTTAGGGTTTAGGGTTTAGGGTTTAGGGTTTAGGGGTTAGGGCATCTAGGGATTGAGGGTTTGAGGCTTAGCTGTTCAAACTGTGCAGGGTGTTGGGCAGTTGTCTGGAAGGTTTATATGCCAAGCATTCTAGACCGTGTATGATATAGCTGAGCATGAAGAGTTCGTATGTAGATCCTATGCGCACGCGCCACGCCTACATAATAAAGCCGTTCCTCGCTTTCTCAAACGAGACCTGCACAAAGCTTGGACCCTTATTCTCTCTGTTTCTAGGCCTGCGCATGTCCACGTCGCTTTTTCTTCGCCCGATTCCTTCAACCATGCACGAGCCAATTAAAGGGGGAACGTTTAGGGCTTGCCTTAAGAACCCAAAACCTACATTTTTGTAGGGTCCCTATAAATCCAATATTAGGGTTTATAATAGGAACCTACAAAAAAGTGGGTTTTGGGTCCTTAAGGTAGGCCCGAGCCGAGTCCTGGCACTTGCCAAGGTTTCTGCACCCGTGGCACGGCTGTGAAGACCTACACGTACTACGTGGCCCAGCAAAGCCCAGGACGGGACCCGCAGTAGGAGTGGAGACTCGCTCCTTACCTGAAGCCAATGGAAGCCTGAAGGGCTTCTGGCTCGGATGCCATACCGGTGGCCCAAGAGACCCTAAACCCTGAACCCTAAACCCTAAACCCTAAACCCTAAATAGAAACCAGAATAAGGAACCCCAAAGAGTTGTAGAGTCTCATTCTTCGCGAGGGAACTCGGGCCTTTAGGGTTGCTTTGAGGACCGTCAGGTGGGTTTAGGGTTTAGGGTTTAGGGTTTAGGGTTTAGGGTTTGGGGGCCTTACTAATTAG